TAATTTGTATCTCTATCTGTATTGGAGATAGTCGGAAGTCACCTTCTGTTTTATTTTTTTATCTATTCTCACTATTTTAGTTTTTGTCTTTTTTCCTTTAGTTCTATCTTCTTTCTTTGCTGTACTCTCTTTGTATTTTTAACTGTACTTTCTATATAATATAATAAAGTTTTTATTAAAAAAAAAGAAGAGCTAGACGATTTTAGAAAATGAAAAAAAAATGGGGGTTGGGGGGCTATATTTATGGCAATATCCATGACAAGAAGCAATGCTTAATTTTACAATAAGGTTATAAAAATAAATAAATAAATCCCTCAGGTTCCCTAAAAACTGCCCAAACGTAGCCTACGTGACCAACTCAGTTTTGCCCATATACAGTTTTGTCTTCTCTATTTCATCTTAACTGTAGTCCTTGGGGAAAAACGACACCCTTAATTGTGCCAAATTGGAAGATATTGCTTAAAAAGAATAAGAAAACACTTAGGCATCACTATACAAGTCTCCTTTAATGCAACTCCATGGGTTTGTACTCAGAAGTTAAGTTTAGTTTTATCAATTGATTCGTTAGCTTTATCTATCTTTCTTTAGGAGGCCAAGGTGATGTACGTAGTGCTTCCTAACAACAGCTCTGTGAGGTAGGCTGCATTGAATGACTGGTCTACAGTGAGCTTTGGTGGCTGAGAGTGAACAAGACCTGCATTTCTCTGGTGTCACTTTAACATTTGTTTTAATGAATAATTTTTATTAAAAGAAGACTTTTACAAAGATTTAAAAAACTACAGAAACATAGAAGAAGAAACAGAAAAAGATTATAAAAGGGTAAAAGAAAAAGTGAAGAACAACAAAAAAGCAGGAAAAAGAAAGACATCTAAAGAAGCAGCTTCTGATCTTCTTTGCAGCAGTTACAAACATAGTAATTACCATCTCCACCCTCCCATATTGCGTATCACAGTTCCCTTCTTCCCATAAACTAACCTTTTTAATCAATACATCCTGAAATCAGCAGTTCATTTTTATCCATTTTCAGCAAAAGGTCTATAAAGGGTTTCCAGTCCTTTATAAAAGCAGCTGTAGGTCCCTCCTTAATCAAACAAGTCAGTTTAGCCACTTCTGCAAACTCAGCCGTCTTCACAATCCGTTCCTCCAGTATTGGTGTTTCTGTGGTCTTCCATCTTTGGGCAGATAATAGCCTCGCTGCAGTTACCATATCTATGGTATACCATATCGTCCATGAGCCTTTTCTGGTTGAGGGTCCATAAGCCCTAACAAGAAAAGTCCCAGTTTCATCTGAAGGTTAATTTTTAAAACTCTCCGCATCACCATATGCATTTGTGTCCAGTATCTTTTCCCTTTTTCACAAGTCCGTTGCTTTAACGTTTTGACCACCACATCACGCAGGTTCTCTAGTGAGTGGAATTGGAAAATAAATAAAGTTGCAGCCTATGAAGTGCGTGTAAAAAGAAGAAAGTACCTTTTTCTCACAGAGAAAAAGGATGATAAAGAACAGAATTTAAAAATGAGTTTTAGAAAGGGCAACAGCATGACTTGTTTCACAATGAATATAGCAAAGTCAGACATTTATTTCACCAATCTGGTCAGCTTTTCCCACCATGGCGCCCTTCAGAGGTTTTTGAGCACAGCTCCCATAATCCCCAGCCAGCATCCCATGCTGAGTCTTGCCCAGCACACCTGGAGGGCACCAGCAAGGGAAAGGGTGAATTTGCTTAGTTATTACATCGCTATGCACAGACAAAATCAAGAATGAAATTTGTGTCCAAAAATCAAAGTAAGCAATAAAACAAGCACCAAGCTTGCAGATGATCTCATCTGTAGCAATAGCTTTTGTTTCATGCGGCTGCAGTCCATCGAACAAGCCTGCTTGTACTGTAGTGTACAGAAACACTGTACGGCATTTCTGTCCATTGGGAGAAGGGCCATAGCTGAGTTCCTAAGTTTCATCCCCAACTGTACTCAGAAGTTAAGTTTAGTTTTATCAATTGATTAGTTAGCTTCATCTATCTTTCTTTAGGAGGCCAAGGTGGTGTACGTAGTGCTTCCTAACAACAGCTCTGTGAGGTAGGCTGCATTGAATGACTGGTCTACAGTGCTGCAGTGAGCTTCTGGTACAGCTTGGGGGGAGAGGGGGGATACTTGAGGGAGACGCCTGCCTGAAAATTGAGAGCCCCTTGACAGTCTGGGGAGGGAGATAGTGCTGGGCGAGTGCAGAAAGCTAAACTGCTGAGGTAGATGGTCCAGAAGACAGCTTCTCATTCTCCTGATTATTTTAACTCAAGCTTAGCAACGTGGTCTTAAAATGGGGGGGGGGGGACGAATTTGGGCGCCTCCAGGTCCCAGGGCCCCGCTTCCTCTGGGTC